CCCCCCCAGTCACTGAAATACTATTTAGGAGTAATCTAAATAGTATATTGTGGTGTTGGCTTATGGGATAAATCAACTAGTTAAATACAATGCATTCTGCTTACACTAGGTAACTGCATAATTTACTTAAATACCAATCCCAATTTGCTTATTGCTCTTATTATTATGTGACCACCCCCCCCCCCCAGGTTTTACGGGGTTAAGCAGAGAGCCTCCCCAAACACAGGAAAACCAGATTCAGAGATCTGGGTTCAACTACAGCCCCTAGACTACTTTTAGGGATAGTAGGAGGAAAAGTGGGAGAGAGGAGATGTGGAAGGAGCAGGAGAGAGGTCTTTCTCCCTGTTATGCTCCATGTACCATTGAAAAAGAAGCCCCAGGAAAATTGTGGAAGAGTCTGGTCTGAGTGCAGCTGGGAGAAGGATTTGCTTCTCCATGAAGGAGATCCCAGTAGAAAGAAAACCTGACTGCTGCAACAGAGCAGGGCCTGAGGGAGATGCACTTAAAAGGCCACAGAAGGCAGTACAGTCAATGTGATTGTGGAGTAGTGAAAGTCCTTGTGCCATCTGGGATAGCTGGGGCTGTACACAAGGTGAAGAGTCTCATCCCAAAGCATCGTTGTGAGACTGTTGGAGTTGAAGTTTTAAGTTGTACTGTTCAAAGGGGTAATCTTGTTATCAGGCTTCCACTCAAGGTTTCATGAGTTATGTTACATACTGTAGATATGCCTATGGTTATAAATAAATCTGACTTGTTTATACCCTCTTGTTAAACTGAGTCACTACAGCCACATCCCTGCATCCCCTCGTGAGTGGGGTTACAGTTACAAACTTTGCAGTCTGCATAGCCTCTTCTAGCCCCTGTGCCTATTTAATATTTTACCTGTGCAGTCCATGGTATAGTTAAATGAAGGGGAAGCAGATGTCAAAAGGCTGCTATTAAAAGCCTTGGGAAATGAAAGTTGGTCTCACTGCTGCTAATAGCAGCCCAAACAGTGCTTAAAAGCTCAAATGCAGGGAAAGCTACGTGCTTTTGGGGCTGCTAATACTGCAGCATTGACAGTCCTGTATTAAAGTGCATTACTTACATTAAGTTCGGGTAAAAGCATTCAGAGTACACATTTCCTTAGTCCCAAGGTAAAGAACTTAAGTGGAGTATACAGCAGTACAAAAGGATAAATTCTGCTGTACTTGAGTAAATAACACAGACTTGTGAGGGAGAAGAGGAATTGCTTTGCTGGGTGGGATTCCATCTCCATATCTATATTTGGCTTGTTTAGACTAATATATGCCTTACTGGCCTTGAAAAAGCCAGGCTTCTCTGTGGAGCCTGAAAGCCTTCCCAACTATTAAACCTGGTTCACTTCATAGTTTGATAGTAGCTAGGGTCAGGAGGGACCTGAACAGATCATCTAGCCTGACCCCCTGCCACAGGCAGGAATGAATGCTGGACCCCAGACAGGTGATCATCCAACCTCCTCTTGAATTTGCCCAAGGTAGGGGCAAGGACCACTTCCCTGGGAAGTTGGTTCCAGATTTTGGCCACCCTAACTGTAAAATATTGCCTTCTGTTCTCTAACCTAAACCTAGGTGTCACGGGGGCACTTGGGTGCCCCGTTCCTGAGTAAGGATTAGAGCAGCTGCCAATCACCAGGGCAGCTCAGCTGAGGGTCGCGGGAGTAACCAGGTCGGCCATGTGACCGGAAGGGGGCAGGGCTGGGCCCTTATAAACAGCTAGGCCAGAGCCTGGCTGGCAGTTCCCTTCTGGCAGCCTGCGTATAAGAGCTCTGTGGGAGAGCTAGACTGAGCAGTGCCGCTTGGCACATAGAGGGCTGCATTATGGTGCAGGCGGAGAGAAGCCTGACCAGAAGGCTT